CAGGCTTTTAAAGGAGGAAATGGTCAAGGAAGGGTGATGGAAGGGCTTCACAATGGAGATGTGGGGGAAGGGCATTGTTGGCTAAGAGAAGGTTGCACAACAGCTCACAGGGAAAAACATTTGCATATTTGGGGTGGATGGGATTTGAGGTACAAAGAAATCATAGTAAGAGTTAAGGCAACCAGGCCTGGAACACCAAGGGCCTCACATACCATACTCAGGAATATGGACCTTTCCTGTGGGCAGCACAGTTCATATGGTTAACCTTATGCTTCTAAAAATGAAACTCTGGTAGTAACATGGAGACCTGTTGGCAGAGGGGACCACCTGAGACAAAATAATGAGGGTGCTATTGCAGTAATCCAGGAGCAGAACTGAGATGTGGGGATAAAATGGCGGCAAGAGAAACATTATGGAAACAGAACCTCCAGCGTTTCAGGGTCCAGGTTTTCTCTTGGTTTCTAGATTAACGACAGCACCACTTTTTCAAGGTTAGGAAGAACAGCTTTTGGAATAAAGATAACATTTAGTTTTAAAAGCTTTAGAAGTGGACATATCTAGTAGGAAAGTGGGTATCCGTTGGTATATCTCAGGGGAAAGGTTTGGACTGGCTGTGTAGATTTGTAAGTCATCATGTTGGTGCCTGGAGAGCCGGGGGGGTAGGTAAATCACCCAGGTTTACCATGTAGCATTAGAAGAAAAATAAGTGAAGAGTAGAACCTTGCAGACTCATCAATATTTGAGGAGAAAAGAAGAGTCTGATGGGTAAAACCCAGCCCAGTACTTTTTTTTTTTAAGACTTTATTTATTTATTTGACAGAGAGAGAGAGTGAGAGATCACAAGTAGGCAGGCAGAGAGAGAGGAGGAAGCAGACTCCCCGCCAAACAGAGAGCCTAATGTGGGGCTCGATCCCAGGACCCTGAGATCATCACCTGAGCCAAAGGCAGAGGCTTAACCTTGTGAGCCACCCAGGCACCCCCAGCCCAGTACTTCTTAGTGGGATATCCCACTAAACAATGCAAGTTTCCAGGAATATCCACAATTATCCATAGCTATCTAGATAGCTAGAAGGGAAAGGCGAGAAAACCAAGGAATAGGTTCGAGAACAGGAAGGGCTGATCTTGCTTGTCAAGTGCAGTTCAGAGGTGGGGTAGGATGAGAATTGGAATGGGCTATTTGGGCCTTGTAGCAGGGAGATCACTTGTGACCCTTGAAAGAGCATTTTCTGAGCAGTGTGGGCAAAGGAGCCTGTTACAGTAGGTAGAAGATGGCTGAGTAAGGACAGGAGCAGTGAGTGTTGCCTATACTCATCAGAAGACTTTGAGTAGAAGTACTCTGCCCCTAGGTGAGCAGTTGGACCAACCATTTAGCCCTTTCTCTTGTTGGTTTCCTATCTATCAGATGAGAAGAGCTGGACTATTTGTAGTTCCTTCCAGCTTCACGATTTCAATGACTTAGTGAGTTAATGGATGGATAGTTGGACGACTGGATAAGAGAATGGAATGAGATGCCTCTGACTTCAAAAGTTATTTGAGACCTAGTAAACATCAAATTTGTAGGGCTTAGCTGCACATTAGGATAGTTTCCAAATTATCCATTCATTTCAATCAAAAGCTAGACCATTAAGCAGACTCTAGTGCAACATTTCCTAAGACCGGTTCCATGAACACTAGCTCAGTAAAATGTGATAGGCATCAGTTAAAAATTTTAAGAAATGATTTTTGGTCAAATAAATTTTGGAACAGAGGCATAAATCAACTCAAATTTCTTGTTTTACTACAGAACTTCACAGGTTCTTTACCACAGTACTATGCATTGTGATTTTCTAACACTTATTTGACTGGAGACTTTTGTTTTTTTTTTTCATTTTTTGCCTTGTTTTGTTTAACTTACCACATTTCTGAGGACTGATGTTCTGATGAATGTGCTTTAGTAGACACTGGTCTAAACAGTGAAGAAGGAGACTTGATTGATAAAATGATCCCCAAATGATATATCAGTTAGACTGTGACCCGTTCATTGGACGTGCTCTTCATTATATTCTTCAAAAGTGTCTTTGTTTCTGCAGTCGTGGCATTATGAATGCACGGCTTTGTTAAATCAGCAAGCCAAGAGTAGTAGTTAATAGGTTAGCACCTCTGTGGCTGAATGATTTCATTGCAAATCGGGATCACAGCCCAATCCTGGATCCAGTAGCTAAATTCTATCACAGCGAGTGGCGTGATTGCTTTTGCAAACAGCATTCATTTACTCTCGTAATATATGTATGCTGTGAAATGTGTCTTTTGGGACCAAGAAACACAAAGCCGAGCCTGTTGCCTCAAAGAGACTGTTTGCAGACTGGGAGCTTAATGCAGTCCACAGGTGGGAAAGTCATAAGGCTTTGCTGGGGCTTCCTAGGTCTCTGTACCGTGGGGCAAGGAGCAGCTGAGGCCACAGCTGGAGTCCTTGACACCTTTCCTTGAAGAATTCTTTTGCCCTCAACCCTGCTTGGTTAGTGCTTTTTATACAATGCTGCAGTCAATTTGTTTCCCATGAAAGAGCTCTAATAACCTATTAGGACTAGCAGCTCTCCTGATCTTAGCCCCACACAGCAAGCACCTACCAGAGCCTGGCCTTTGTGTTCTGGTCTGTCTCCTGGATTCCCCCTTTCTTCTCCCTGTAATGATGCTAATTTTTGTTTGCTCTGTTTGATCACTTTTAATAGTATACAACAAACTTCTACCTTTGGTGATAAAATCAATCATTAGATTTCATTGTTCTAAGTGTAGTTTAGATGCAACTTTCTTAGTTGAATTCTCCTCCTCTTACTCCAAATGAATGGAATTTGTAATTTTTTAATCCCTCTGACACAATCACATTTGTTTCATGTAAGGAGGTAAAGGGATCTCTTCTCACTTTCATGTTTCTCTGTTTGGAAGGGTTTAGAGCCATGTCTGAACGTGAAGCTTCTGTGGGGCATGGTCTCTTCCAGACCATTTTTAAAAAAAGCAAATTAGATTGGTCTGAAGATTTTCTCCTAGATTCTTGAAGTAATAAAGTTTTAACTTTTACATATTATGATAGTAACAAATAAATGAAAACATTCTAAATGCAATATAGTGGAATAGTTACGTGCTGTCTGATCATGAACTTGGTGATGTTTAAAAATCATCAGTGAGGGGCGCCTGGGTGTCTCAGTTCTTAAGTGTCTGCCTTCAGCTCAGGTCATGATCCCGGGGTCCTGAGATTGAGCCCCACATCAGGCTCCCCGCTCTGTGGGAAGTCTACTTCTCCCTCTCCCACTCTCCTTGCTTGTGTTCCTTCTCTCGCTGCCTCTCTGTCTGTCAAATAAATAAACAAAATCTTTAAAAAAATAAAAAAGAAAAATCATCAGTGAGTAATAAAAATATTAGTGATACAGTAAATGAACTAATTATTTTCAAAACAATAGGTGATGTATGAGCTTAGCACTGTAAACTCTCAGTATGCATGTCAAGGCACTGAGGAAGCTTGGAAAGGAAAGCCAGGCAGGTACATACATGAGAACACAGTGGTGGAGAGCATAAAATTTGTATCTAAATGGAGCTTGAGTATACTTCACTCTCCTCTATCTGTGTGACTTCAGGGAAATACCTTTTCCTTTTGGAGCCGAAGTTGGGTTTGTTTTTTGTTTTTGTTTTGTTTTGTTTTGTTTTGTTTTTAATGCAAAGAAGGATAAATAATAATGCCTAACTCTATATGGTAACTGGTTGGATGAAATAATATGTACCAATCTTATAACACAGAGCAATTGCTCAGTTAGTGGTAGATATTATTAACAATGCTTTAATTTATCAAAATATTAACAATGGTTATATCTAGGTAGGCAATGGGGGTCTAGCCTATATCTACCCCATATCTACCCTATAGCCTATATCTATCCCCAACCTATCCCATATCTAGGTCTACCTAGATATAACCGTTGCCTACCTAGATATAACCATTGTTAACATTTTGTGTTGTGTTAACAACATTGTTAATGTTAACAACATTGTTATGTTAACATAATAACATAACATTAACATAACATATGTTATGTTAATGTTAACAACATTGTTAACCATTGTTAACATTTTGTGTTGTGTTATACTGTGTGTTATACTTTGTTATACTGTGTTATACTGTGTGTTATACTGTGCTGTGTGTTATACTTTGTTTTTGCCAAAATATATAATATACACAATGTAAATGAATCCAGTCCGTATTTGATCGCACACAGGCAGAGTCCCTAAATAAGCTTTTATCTCTATAAACCTTGAGTCACTTGCATTTGACTTAAATGAGATAAGGAAGGTGAAGAGTAGTTATCTCTTTGGCATGGAGGAGGAGGAACACAGGGCCATGGGAAGGGCCCTTGCTTCCCCCTACACCCCCCTCCCCAGGAATGCCACATGTCAGTGTCATGAACCCAAATCTTCCAATCCGAAGTTCAAGGTCCATTCTCCAAGATTAAAAGAAGAAGTGTACTAGGTCTGCCTTTCTTGGAACAGTATGGAAAACAAAATCAACTATGTATTCAAAATAATGAAGAGGTCCTCCCTTCAAGGATTGCTGTAACATCTTCTCTGTTTTCCCTCCAGCTTTGATTTACCTCTAAGGTAAAATATCTCCTGGCTACTAGTATATGTCTAGTTTTTAACTGCTTCAGTTAGATTCCCCACACCTGTTCTGTACTGCACACGGGCTTATTTAATAACAATACAGTTCATTAGCGTGTTTTAGAAGTGAGAATTGGTTTAGGAGTCTTTATAATATTTCTGAAACTCCAGTGAAACCCTGGTGCCTTCCTGAATCTTAGCAGATTACGTAAGACTCTGAGGTCGGTGAAACGCTTTCCCATATCTTCTAGGCAGAAACTGAGTATTGCTTTTTTAAAAAATTCATTAAGGAGATACAGACCTATTTGGAGATAGTGTCACCATAGGAATAGAAAAACAACTAAATTTCCTCCCCCTCCCTTTTTCTTTTCCCTTCATAGCCTAAAGGGAGCTGATGCTGGCAATGGGATCAGAGTGTTTGTGCCTGATATCGGGATGTTCATTGCGAGTCTGACCATCTGGCTCGTCTGCAGAAACATCGTTCAGAAACCAGTGACGGAAGAAGCAGCACAGTATAACTCCGAGTTTGAAAATGAAGAATTGGTAAATCTGATTTCATGCATCTATCTTCCTTCTTTGATTGCTGAGGGCCTTGAGCCTTCTAATGAGTTGTATAAGAGTGAAATGTGCAAAGCACTTAAACTTCGGGGTGCTTGGCTTCAGTTAACGATGCAAAGCCCCCGATGTAGTTGCGATGGGTTAGGCATTGGCAGCCACACCTTGGCCATGAGGAGCCAGTTCAAGGAACATGGAGGCTGCCCTTTGTGAGGCATCATACTGACACAGTGTTCTTTTCACTCTCATCTAATATTATCCCAGATGGTTAACCTTCTAGGTTCATAATGCTGTAGCCCATGGTCTAGATACCTTAGTCATTACAAAATATTTAGAGAAGAAGTAACACCTGGTAGTTTGGAAAAAAAAAAAAAAAGTAATTCCTCCCTGAAGGGAAGCTTTCTGGTCCGTGCACCTTGCTCTTAGGGGTGGACTTATGTTCGCATATTTTGATCAAGTTGTTTTAAAGTATTCCAGAGAAAAAATATATACCTTCGGAAAAGCATAAAAATTGGAAAAAGATAACAATAATGAGGAAATTTAGCTATGTGTTTTAGTAGAAAGAGTTTCAGGAGGAGCAAGGAGCACGTCAGATCTCACTCGGTATATGAGAGCAAGTTAGTTCATCCCTGTCCCTAGATCTGTTTCTGAACTGTGCTCCATTCTAATGACTGTACTTTGTTATGTGAGTTTCAGAGACATTGATTTTTAAAAAGTAATTGATTTGGTAGTTGAAAGATGAAATTTACAAAGAAAAAATTACGAAAAAACTTCATCAGGACAGTTGACACGAGACACAACTACCGAATGTTCTTATTCGGAAGTTTTGGCAAGAACTTGAACCTGCCAAACTGAAGTTAATTGAAATCACTTACTTTGAGAATGGTAATCACAAAGGCCTCAAGGAAGACAATTCTGTTATGGGAAATGATCTATGTACCTCACAAATAAGCAGCAAATTGTCTTGTTTTGTTATTAAAAACAGAACAATAAAGTGAGGATGTAATTCAACAAATCTATACAAACTAGAAATTATATTACCACCAAATATCATTTAGGGGTAAAAAATACACAATCACATCGGTCACATTGCCTAGCAATATTCTGCTATTTTTAAGACACACGCTAACAAGTACCTGGTGTGAAAAATAATTATAGCAAGGTAGCAACTAACCCTGTGTTACATTATGTTAACAAACTATGAAGCACTTGTCAGCGTCTTAAAAATGGGTAAAACCATGAAACTGACTTTTCTTACTGTTGGCTTTCCAATTTTAAAACAAAACTTAAAATTTTAATTTCTAGTTTTATAGCTGAACTTCAATTTAGAAGAGTTACAGTTTAGAAAATCATCTGGCTTTGATCTTTATTGCCAAAAATTGTCCAAGTTTGGTGAAAGTAAACCCACAAGCTCTTCAGCCTTAGGATTTTTCATTACCGGTATTTATAAAGGCAAGATTATTTTTCAGTTATCCTCATATAGAGGATAAAAGATATTTGCTGTAAGTTGAGTACACACTGAAGGCAGACGTGGAAGCTACTAACAGTGGCTACATGATGTTGAGAAATTTGTTCATTCTCTCTCTTCTGCAAAATGAGGTCAATCATAATCCTATGTCATGGGGTTGCTGTAAGCACTAAATGAAATGTCAAGTACAACACGTCTAGTGCAGTGCCTGCCCACTGGGTTGCTTAATGAGATGCTACTAGCTCTCATCACCTTGCTCTCTCCAGTTGGAGAGGTCCTAGAACAAATTCAGAGTCCTCTTAGGATGATAGAAAGTAAAGTTGGGTGGTGAGTTTGAAGCCAACCCACTCGGTAAGAGAGTCCCTTCTGTGCCATTTGTCACAGACAGCCATAAATGAATTTCAAAGCTTCTCAAGAAAACAACCTCTGTCACTAAGGGCAAAGACTTTTTTTACCATAGGACCAGGGAAGCCTACATTGACTGATGCAAGTTAACGGATTTCAGGTTATGCTTAGGGTCACACATCTGGGGAAGAAGAGAACACAGAACCATACATGGATTAATTCTAATATGTTTCCTTTTTGATTTCACATTGTTCTCAAAGATAGACTTATGGCACTTCTCTCCCATTTGAAACCTGTTTAAGTATCTGTACTCTCTATATTATTAATCACATTATTTAAAATGATTGACATTCTAAATACTATTTATTTGGGGCTTTGAAAAATACTAAATGTCATTATGATGAGATTGAATTTCTTCCCATTTAGATTTGCTTTGGCCTCATTTAGATCTTAATTTCCATTCTCTTCATGCATTCCAGCCACCCACCAACCCCCCACCCCACCCAGCCGCCCCGGGAAGAGCAGGCTGGTGTGTGAATCTTCTGAGATGAATCCACAAGGAAATATTTCTTACATGTGAATAATCTGGCTTGAGTCTGAAAAGAATAGAAGCACATGGCCAAAATAAGTAGGAGAATTTATTTTGTTTTGGAAGGCCCCGACATATTTCCTCCCTGTAATAAATCTTGACATTTGCACTGTAGAATGTTTGGTTTTTGAGGATCCTTTGAAAGAATAGTGTTTGCTGGCATTGTTTCTTCTTTCATTTATCCCAATGGTGAAATGGCAAGATTAATCCACTGGTGCCTGCGAGAATGTCTTTTTAAATCCCGCATTGGTTTAAACTAGCAACTAATCCTTGAAGAAGACTCAGAGTCTTTCCTAATCTTGCTCAGCTTGATAATGAGGCTCAAGTTTGCTGTTTTAAAAGGCATTGAAAATCCCTGGTTTCCAGGAAAAAGAAAAAAAAAAAATCTCGCCTTGTTACAGAGAATCTTGCGTTGTACAGAGAACAGAGCTCAGTTAAGTAAGCCAATTCCTCAAGTGCCAGAAAAGGTTCTCTTTCAACTGACACATCTGTGATCTTGTTTATCTGTTCATTGCAATTCAGAAGCAGACCTACAAGTTGTAACTGGGAGAAAGATCCCTAATCTTAAATATTAAAAAAAAAAAAAGGAGTTGGGTTTTGAAAATCAAATCGTGTAGGAAAGGGTCACCTGTGCAATGAAACGCTTTGTAATTTCACTACGCTGCTGTTATTTTGTATAATTTTGTACTACCAGCGCTTTCTAGTGATTTAATGAGATTTCAGGCTTTATTTTTTTGGAAGCAAATGGTACTCCAATATATTATTAATCCAAATTTATGAGAAACTGTTTATTCAAATAGCAATTTTAGTCATGACTTGGTCTGCTTAGTCGGACATATCAAATATGAAGCATAAAAAGAATATTTCAGTATAGGTATCCACCATCTGTTAAAAGTTCAAGGATGCAACATTTGGATCCTGCTAATATTGTTTGGAAATTCATCCTGAGCCTCAAAACCTGTATCCTCCTTTCTGATACCTAATGTCCATTAAGCTCCTACTACATCTGCATTCTGGCATATAAAATCACCAATGGGGCTGTGCCTCAAGTATTAGCACTGAGGTTCTTGAAGTTACTACTCTTTTTTTTTTTTTTTTTTTGAGAGCAAGAAACAAAGAATGAAAGAGATCAATCTTTTTACTGTCACCTTTTGTTTCTTTTTACTCTCTCTTCTAATAAGGCGTTCAGCTTCTCAGCTGAGATTTAGCCCAGAATCATGTGTTTGAAGTTTTCTAGATCCTGTCTCTTCTGGTACCCAGACATGATCGTCTGAAACACGGCAGCATTCAGTAGAGTAAGAAGTTAGGCAACTGCCCACTTGCCCTCCCAGCCTTGAGCTTGCCATGTCTCAAGGTCACTCTCAGGAACTAGGCAAGGACATTTTGTCATATGTCCGCCAAAATGCAACATCCTGGGTTTGTCTTCTCTGGGTTAAACACATTTACAGTTTGGAGGAAACCTTTAATTGTGGTGATTTTAGATGCCATTAGTTTAAGTAAAGAGGAAGTTGGGGTTTTTTTAAAGATTTTATTTATTTATTCGACAGACAAAGATCACAAGTAGGCAGAGAAGCAGGCAGAGAGAGAGGGAGGAAGCAGGCTCCACACTGAGCAGAGAGCCCGATGCGGGACTCAATCCCAGGACCCTGGGATCATGACCTGAGCCGAAGGCAAAGGCTTTAACCCACTGAGCCACCCAGGAACCCCAAAGAAAAAGTTTTTAATTGGAGGAAATCATTGGCCTGTTGTCTTCAGAAGGCTTCGGGAAAGCTCGGTATGACAGTATGAGTTTCAGGATGAATGTCACAGAGGGAAGTTAACTTTAGATCCATGAATGTATCCCCCACTGTCCTTCAGCTACATCTCCCAGGACACAAGGTGAGAGCGTGGAGTCCCTCTCATCCTTTCCTCTGAGAGAAACACACCTGGAGAGCATACCCTCTTTATCACATAGAAAGGCAGGGATGTTCTATTACAGACCTAGGTTAATTGAATGAAATTTGACGAGCCTAGAGTTGAATATGTGACCCAGTAGTAAAAATAAAGGAAAGAATAAGCAATTAGGAAGGCAGCTCAAGTATTTTTACATCATTAAAATGAAACTATTCCAAATTAAATCCACCTTCATTTCTCTCCCATGTGTTCTTTCATTTAACAACATTTCACAGTGCGTGCTTATTCTCTGCTTTATTTTTTTAAGAAAATCAAAGCTCCGAAGTAGACTTTTACCCTTAACAATATGTCTGGATCTGTGTTTTTAGAAATTCTCAGAATATTTTGTTCTGTCCTTGGTATATTTGACAGGTGATCTTGAAGTTGAATTGCAAATAACAACAAAACACCTCCACAAGGGAGACTTGTTTGGGGAGAATGCAGAGCCCCATGTCCCTTCAGGAAGGGTAGCTTGGTCAGGCACAGTGGGTGGGGGGGAACCTATGTGTCCCTCTCCTGTCACCTGCTCCTGCTTCAGGGGGTCTGCATCTCCTCACTCCTTTGAGGGGGGTCATGCTTTCCATCCTTCTCTCAACTGGAAATACTGAGATGGAACTGCCACCAACTTAATGTTGTTTAAATCCCCATGTTTCT